ATTGTGTAGCCTACAAAACAATTTCTATTTTATCTGTACCATCTAATTAATTAAATGGCCCCAGAGTACCAGACTCACAAATCTCGTTAATAGCTGAATACTGAAATAAAGGCTGCTCACCCCTCCTAGAATAATATTTGCATATCCCCACCTGTGATGGGTAATAAGTACCTGCCACAAATCAGAATTATGAATTTTGTACGCCTAACAAAACCGCAGGGGAAATTATACCTCAGACATTCCATAATAATTGCAGCTAAGCTGTTTAGTGCCATCCACTTATTCTGCCTGAAGTGTTTAAAGCAGCAACAGTTGTAAATGAATTCAGGCACATATTCAAGGGAATTTTTTTCAAAAAGTTTTTCTGTCTTGCCATATGTAATTATCTTTATGGAAGTATTCAGCTGCAAGTTGTAACACATTCACATTTAAAGAAGCAAATTTCAGAAAAAAAAATACAGGCAGTGGTGTATGTGTGTTAGAAGTCTGTCCTTGAAACTTGGGGACACTTTTAGAAAGGTGTGAAGTATCAATAGGAATGGATTTACTAGCTGGGATGGGCTCTCACGTGTTACTTATATCTGACAAAATTGTATTCCAAATAGATGATAAAGTGTATCTTTACAATGGAGCAATCACTGTGTTAGTCATGTTAGTTTTCAATATTAAGTCATATGCCCTTCTCTGAGATGGCTTGTCTTAGCACTAGGAGTATGTTGTGATGTCCATTGGTCCCTTGAAGAAATCTACCCTGAGACTACCACAGTATGGAACCATTGACTGAGAACAGTGGCTATTTCTACGGGTCATATTTCTGTTTGACTCTCACTCCTATGGGGATGGTGCCATGGCAAAGTCCAGCAGGAGAAAATAGCAATACCACAGTATTTCCTGCTAACAGCAATGGTCATGTTCTGTTTAACATTGGTATCCGATTAAATGAAAACAAAAATAGTAACCCCAAGAAGAGGCAATGTTATCCTGTTTAGGATGTATGGTGTTTCCTTAACAATGTTGATGACAGTGAGGTATTTTGAGATTCTAGAAGACCTGATATTAATTTGGCTAAGGATTATACACTTTTTACTCATAAACAAGTCAGAATCTGTGAGTTTCATTTTCTTCATGTTCAAAACATATAAATCAGCTTTATTAGGCTAAGGTTATAATATAGTCAGTGAATTGTTTGCTATGGAAACACAAGGATCTGCGATCCAGTCTCAGAACACATGTTAAGGAACAAAGGACAGTCAGTCTGCTGGTAAAACTTGGGAATTTAATAGAAGAGACAGAGACAGGTGTATCCCTGGGACTCAGCAGCCAAGCCTATTGTTAAATCCCAGCCAACGTGAGACCTTGTCTCAAAAAGCAAAGATGGCCAATAGCACCAGAAGAATGACACCTGAGAGTATTCCTAACCTCCAAATACACAAGCACATAATACATAAATTCATGAATTCTTGGACACACACATGCACCCACATATTCAAAGATGTACACAAAAGTGTTTGCAAGCAAGCACCCCCACACATGCACACACACACACACACACACACACACACACACACACACACACACACACACAGAGTTTTATCCAGCTGATAATTGATCAAAGAAATTACCTACTGCTTGAAATGGTTATGGTTCTCGTAACTACACTGTATACAGTGTAGTGTTGCTCCTACTTATAAATGTTTGTCTCTTTTAATTCTCCACTGAAGTGTGGTATATGAGCTTCTTGTGGCTGGGGCACACTTCTGTCTTGAAGACACTTCTGTAGATGTGAGTGAGGGGTATGAAGGCGCTATGATAGGAGAGCACATAATCTCTTCTGCCGCCTCCCTCTTCCCCTCCCTCTCCGAGAGTATGTGTTTGCATGTGTCCATATACACACTGGGCCTGAATGTGAACATAAAAAATATCAATCTCATTTAGTAGGAAAGTGCTTAAAATAATTAGGATTTATGTATTTTCAAAAGAGTAGGCACAATGGTTCAGAAGTGGCCATGATGTGATTAAGTTGGTTGCTTGAGGCTCCCTACGGTGACAGGATGGTCTGCAGGCTTCTGAAGAAAAGCTTATACAGCCTATTACCATGATGAAGTGAAATTTCAAATTACATTTTATATTTGTAAAGGACTACCAGGCAAGGTCCCTATGGATTGTCAAATACTACATAAAATGCTATAAAAACCAGACCATAATCTCTCACTAACTTACACATTAGCCTCAGGCAGTAAAGATGGTTTTTATTGAGCCAGATTTTGTGAGGGTAAAAAAAAAAAAGTTACACACAGTTTATCCTGGCTTTTCAGGCACAGCGCTTCTTCCTTGAGTTAACATGATGTATTCCAAGTGATTAAATGAACTTGTCTCACAGCTCTTCCCATGCACTTGAAAGAAAGCAAAGGAGGGATGGATTTACTGTGGGGAAAAAAAGCTCTTAATTCTATCGCTGTTTTATTCAAACTGCTAATACAGAACTCAAGAAAGGCACAAGGTAAATTAAAACTTCAATAAGACATCTCACAGAGACCCACCTGCATTCCATGCTGTGGTTCACTTACCAGACTGTACCTTTTAAAATGAAAAGTATGTCTTGTGGGAAGAAATCCAAAGACAGGGGATAGATCATTCAGCACCATGGATGGTTTGGCGCAAGGAAACCATAGTTTGGACTTTAGTTCATTTACCACCACTGATGAACTGAGTAAGCCTGGTATTGTGGTAGACTGGTATTTTTCCCCATCTCCAGGAGTAGCTATTTTGATCAGTGTATGATCGGATTAACAAGATGTGACAGATGAATGAATGCTGGTCTAGTATTCAGAAAGGTGAGTGTATTGATGTGTTTCATGATCCTTGTATTTGCATCTTTGTAGAGGCTTGAAAGAATCTATATGGAGATGAATCCCTGAGCATTTAAATTTTTGTGGTTTGCCTCTTAATTGGTTATCTGTAAATTCGGCTATTTCCATAGTGAGCTTGAAGAGAAATTCAGATCCCTTATCTTCTTAGTGTTTAGACTGGATCAGTTGAAGAGTAGCCCTTCATGAGTCATAGGTAGTGGATAGAAGGGTGTGGCCAGCCTGAGTCCTGCAAATTTTAAGTAGGTGACCCATATCTAATTGCATGCTGTGCAAAGTCATGAAAATGTGGTATGCTAGAAAGCGAATATGAGCTTCACTCTCATGCTGGTCTTTCCCAGTCCTATGCTCTTTACATGCTCTATTTATAACTTCAGGTAGATAAATATCCAGAGCTTAAAGTATTGTTTGGTTTTGCTTTTCATCTACAAACAACACTTGTCTCAAATAGTGTGATAATGGTTGGGGTTCTCTAGAATGACTTTATATTATAAGTCATGATATGGGCTACTTGTCCAATGGCTATCTGCATGGAAGAGAGGCTGAGAGTTAGATCCCACAGCAGCCTAACTAAATACCTGGAAGATTCTTGGAGACATACTGATTTCAACCCATGAAGAAGCTTGGTTCTGATGGTAGTGAAGGATCCCACAGCAGCCTAACTAAATACCTGGAAGATTCTTGGAGACATACTGGTTTCAACCCATGAAGAAGCTTGGTTCTGATGGTAGTGAAGGACAGCAGGGATTGGTACACTCACACACCAGAGAGTAGCAAATGAGGCTAGCTGCCCTGGAAGTTCTTTGAGTCTAGCTAACAGCTAGAAAGTACCTCTTCCTCAGGGCAGGGGTCAGAGTGAAGGTGGGTGGGCCTGAGGGGGCGGGGCTTCTCTTCTGGGTTATTCATTTTGGGAAGTGCACTTCTAGGCCTCCCAGAGGCCTGTCTCTTACCTGATTCCAGATCTAATGGAGGTGAGAACAAAGATTCACCAACACAATTATTGAAAAGATTAAATGTACTACCTTGAACAGAGAGAGATAAACCACTTTCCTGGATCTTGGGATTATGGAGCCTAAGAATAGTACATTTTAAGAAGCTAAACACAGAAGAGGGGACTTTAGTGGTCACTTAAGAAAATGCTTTTATAAGGATAGAGGACATTAAATGTCTCATTGACATGAGAAACAGGCAGTAATTTTTGCTGTTAAATCAAAAGAGCTATAAAATTATATGAATTTTTTAAGTCTGTGACTAAAATAATTTTAATTCTTCCAATTTTAACATAGGGATTGGAATTTGGTAATATATTTTTCTATCTAGTTATCTAAATTATTCACAAAATCCAATGGTCGTTTATTCTTGTATTTGTAATATATATATGATATATATATATATATATCATATGTATATATATGTGATGTGTGTGTGTGTGTGTGTGTGTGTGTGTGTGTGTGTGAGGAATCCATGAGCACTCTTGTGTTTTGGAAAATATTAATTCATAGTAGGAATTATTTTTCAACTGGCAATAAAAGTAAAGAATTTTTAAATACAATTCTAAGCCTAGAACAAAGGGCCTCCTGTGTACTAGGAAGAACTTTCTCACTGACTACACCTCCAGGCCACAAGTGTCACAACAAATGTTGGAATTCTTCCACCACTGTCTTGGCTGATTTATTTAGTCAGAGTTTGCATATGCATGTGAATGAAACAGTCCAGCTGTTCTTGGGGGAAAAAAGAAGAAACCAAAAACCTAAATGAAGCCAAGCCAAAATATACTTTGTAAACAGTGGGATACATAGTATCTATCAAAATTTCTTAGATTCCCAAAACAGCTACTTTTAAAAGACATCAGTCCAAAAGCCCAGGTAAAATTAAAAATGGGTTTTATGTTTGTATTAAGGTAGGCCAGCCTTGGAATGGCTGATTTTCTTCTTCTCTCTTCTCAAAGACCTATACCATGTGTCTTCTTACTCTTGTTTCCAAAGATCCTTTTTCAATTATTCTACTTTCACTATCAAGATTCTTTATTGTTTCTGTAATACTTATCAAAATAAGCAATTATTTATTTAATTGGTATAAATTTTTTGCCTATGAAATTTTCCCATCACTTCTTTTTGAGACAGGGCCTACAAAGTATTATACAGGCTTACCTTGACATTGTGGCAATCCTCCTGTTTAAGTTCTTGAGTGCTTGATTACAGACTTGAGCCACCAAACACAAGCTTTTCTTTTGTCTTGTCATTTAGAACTTCTCTGTAACATGCATAGAAAGAAAAATGGGTTGTCCCATTCAAACTGAACACAATGATAGAGAGCCCTACTGACTTACCATTTTCCCCATAGACGAGTGTGTCTCTTAAGCCTCTTCAGAGATGCTTTCTTTCAGAAGATGATGACTAACACAGAGACCCCTTATTAACAAAGAATAAGACTGGGGGATGCTCAGGACTGAATGGAAATCTGTAGCACAATCCTTTCACCTAAAGCTGTTACCATAAATCTTTCTGCAAAAAGCCGACTGAGCCCCACCGCCATGTGTGAGCTTTACGCTAGCCGCCTGCCTGAGTTAGGCCCAAATAATACACAAAAACTTGTATTAGGTTCAAATGCTGCTTGGCCAGTGACTAGGATTCTCATCTACTAGCTCAGCCTTAATTATCATAAACCTATATATTTCATAAGACTTATCTTATCGGATGCCTTATTGGCGTCCCTCCTTGCCAGTGGATCACATCGTGCTGCTGGAGCAGGCAAACGGAAAAAGGGACACACTTCCTGTTTCCTCACTTAGGTATGAGTTTCCTTGCCATGTCACTTCCTGCCTGGATCATCACTTCTCTACTACATTTCCCAGAATCCTCTTTGACTCCTAGTCCTTGCTTGCCATTGGCCAAACAGTATTTTATTCAACAATCAATAAGATAAACATACAAAGAAGTACATTCCCCATCACAAAGCTCCAGCATTACTGCAGAAGAGGGGGTGGAAAATTTGTAAACCAGAGATGCTTTAGTGACTACTTGGATATTGTGTTTTCTGGACACAACAGGGAAGTTGTATATATGAACTCACAATGGTGGAGACATAAAACCAGTGCAACCTCAAGTCCGACAGATTCCAGTATGGAAAGAGGAGTTCAGCCTGAAACCCCACCTTTAAAAGAGGATCTATTGGCAATTCATAGTTGCTTCGAAAGGAAGAATCAGTTTTCTTTTGGGGCATGGCCCCTGAGAGGTTGACCATGCTCTAGTAGAAGACCACACATCCAAAAATACATGAGTAGCCCAGGTTGGACTTTATGGGCTTAAGGAAAATAAAGAAGTCATAAAGATGGGTGGGTAGGGAAAGGAGTTAGACCTGAGAGGAGTTGGCAGAGGGAAGAATATAATGGAAATAGAGATTTTTGTCTTTGCTCCTTCCTCTTCATATTTTCTTGTTGCAGGAATTCCATCACATGTGACCAGTTGTGAGAGATGGTTTGGCCCAAGGGGCAGAGTTTTATGGAAGAGTCCGGTGACCCAAATATAGAGCACTGGCTGCCAGTTGCTGCTATTTTGGAAGGTGGACAAACTGGCAGTGAAGCACAAGTCAAGCATAGCTGGCATCTTGGTTTAAGTTCCCTGTCCCCCTGGGAATGAGGAAGGATGGTGGCAATGGAGGTGCCAGAGCAGCTGGACTCATAGCAGCAGCAGCATAGCAGCTTGTTCTGTCTTGTGACTGTCGCTTACTGATTGTCCCTGTTTTCTGTGGCGATATTTCGTTTGTGATTTAACAAATAAACCCAATTAGCTTCCTTCATTGTTTTCTCACCCCCTTTATCTTTTTTCCTACTTATCCCCCTTAATTTTCTATCTTCTTTCTTTTCTCTTTCCCTGACTCCTCTTTTATTTCATCCTTTGTTTTTTTAAAATGTTTATTCTTTTCTATGTTTATAAATGATACAGCATTGCCTTTATTTTCTTTACTTGTATATCTATATCTGGTTTGTTTGGGAGTTGGTACTGTTACTGTGGTTTGTCTTCCCCTGCCAGCATCACTAAGGGTTGGCTCCTCCAGGTTATGCTGCTCACTAGAGTAGGATTGCCATCACAACTGATGGGCAAACCATAACATAGAAGCAAACAAATGAAAAAGTAGGGCTACTTAACACCTTCAGCAGTTCTTAAAGCTTCACTTCCTTCTGAAGGACTTAAGAATTAACAAAGAAATAACTTAGAAGAAAAACAAACCTCTCACCCTAAGAACAGGGAGACCTGACTTAGAAACACAATGA